CAGCCTTTTCGCGCGAGATTTGAGGCCTCTAGAATTTATGCGTACTAGTACGTCAAAAACCCCTACGCGTAAGACGTACTAGTACGACCAAAACCCTCAAAGGGTTAAATACCTTTTTATTTTCCATGTAATTTTCCTCAGAACCCATAGACCACCTGAACAAAAATTGACCAATTTCCCTTGCTTTTCCATGATCAACCATGATCCATTATGCTTTCATATGAACGAAGAGTATATGTCCTTGTACAACATACATGTACTTTACATTGTATAAAATCACTGCTTAATGACACCATGTCTGTCACTCCATCGTATTAGTTACCTGTCTGCATTCTGAGATCAACAGGCCATAGCGTGGTCTGAGCTGTAAGTAGGGAATACTTGTGTTCCAGATGCATACTAGTGTACGAGCTGAAGTAACCGTTAAACTGGTTACAGTTAGAGTACTTCAAATACACTGAGACGCAGGCAGCTACTCAAAATCTTGGGTAAATCACCGTTGCAGAACAGATACACACATCATTCCAATTACATGCGACTCAGCAGAACGCCTACGACAATGTTTCACTAGTACACTCATTAACTATCAATGCAAGTCACGGTTCACTTGCACAGTCTTTGATGATCAATGTCAGTCATGGTTCACCAGTACACTCATTAATGGTCCCAAAGTCAGTCATGGTTCACTTGTAGGCTCATTGATCAACGTCACTCGTGGTTCACCAGTACACTCACTGATAAACGTCAGTCATGGTTCACCAGTACACTGATGATCAACATCATAGTTCACCAGTACACTCACTGATCAACGTCAGTCATGGTTCACAGGTACACTGATGATCAACGTCAGTCATGGTTCACCAGTACACTGATGATCAACATCAGTCATGGTTCACCAGTACACTGATCAACGTCAGTCATGGTTCACCAGTACACTGATGATCAACGTCATAGTTCACCAGTACACTCACTGATCAACGTCAGTCATGGTTCACAGGTACACTGATGATCAATGTCAGTCATGGTTCACCAGTACACTGATGATCAACGTCAGTCATGGTTCACCAGTACACTGATGATCAACGTGTCATGGTTCACCAGTACACTGATGATCAACGTCAGTCATGGTTCACCAGTACACTGATAATCAACGTCAGTCATAGTTCACCAGTACACTGATGATCAACGTCATAGTTCACCAGTACACTCACTGATCAACGTCAGTCATGGTTCACCAGTACACTGATGATCAACGTCATAGTTCACCAGTACACTCACTGATCAACGTCAGTCATGGTTCACAGGTACACTGATGATCAACGTCAGTCATAGTTAACCGGTACACTCACTGATCAACGTCAGTCATGGTTCACCAGTACACTGATGATCAACGTCAGTCATGGTTCACTAGTACACTCACTGATCAACGTCAGTCATGGTTCACTAGTACACTCACTGATCAACGTCAGTCATGGTTCACTAGTACACTGATTATCAACGTCAGTCATGGTTCACTAGTACACTGATTATCAACGTCAGTCATGGTTCACTAGTACACTGATGATCAACGTCAGTCATGGTTCACTAGTACACTGATGATCAACGTCAGTCATGGTTCACTAGTACACTGATGATCAACGTCAGTCATGGTTCACTAGTACACTGATGATCAACGTCAGTCATGGTTCACTAGTACACTGATGATCAACGTCAGTCATGGTTCACTAGTACACTGATGATCAACGTCAGTCATGGTTCACTAGTACACTGATGATCAACGTCAGTCATGGTTCACTAGTACACTGATGATCAACGTCAGTCATGGTTCACTAGTACACTGATGATCAACGTCAGTCATGGTTCACTAGTACACTCACTGATCAACGTCAGTCATGGTTCACTAGTACACTGATGATCAACGTCAGTCATGGTTCACTAGTACACTGATGATCAACGTCAGTCATGGTTCACTAGTACACTGATGATCAACGTCAGTCATGGTTCACCAATACTCTGATGATCAACGTCAGTCATGGTTCACCAGTACACTGATGATCAACGTCAGTCATGGTTCATCAGTACACTGATGATCAACGTCAGTCATGGTTCACCAATACTCTGATGATCAACGTCAGTCATGGTTCATCAGTACACTGATGATCAACGTCAGTCATGGTTCACCAATACTCTGATGATCAACGTCAGTCATGGTTCATCAGTACATGATGATCAACGTAAAGTCATGGTTCACCAGTACACTGATGATCAACGTCAGTCATGGTTAAACCATTTACACTGAGGGATCAACGTCAGTCATGGTTCAATCAGTAAAATGATGATCAACGTCAGTCATGGTTCAATCAGTAAAACTGATGATCAACGTCAGTCATGGTTCATCAGTACACTGATGATCAACGTCAGTCAGATCTGAATATCAATTTATTTCAACAATATTTAGAAAAGATGCGTATTTCCAGATGTTTTGGAACATTACCCCAAGATGGCTTCCAATATAATAATAATGTACAATACCAACAAGTAGATTACTAAGAGGTGCAACAGTTAGTTATCTTTATTTCGGAAACGTTCCCCTTACAGACAAGCTCTTCATGGAGACATTAGTGAGCCCCACACATGGGCATAACAATGCGTGGAGGGATAAAGATAGTAAAGCTGCCTTACCTGGAGTTACCTGGAGGTTATTCCGGGGATAAACGCCCCCGCGGCCCGGTCCATGACCAGGCCTCCCGATGGATCAGGGCCTGATCAATGGGCTTTTACTGCTGGCCGACGCAGTCCAACGTACAGCCACAGCCGGCTGATCCGGCACTAAACTTAGATATCTGTCCAGCATCTCTCTTGAAGGCAGCCGGGGGCCCTTTTTGGGCAATTCCCCTAATGCTGATAGGCTGTTAACCAGTTTTGGGCCCCGGACACTTATGGTGTACCAAGGCGCCCCTACTTTTATTGGGGCATTTTGCATCGCCTGCCCATCTTTTATTTTCGTAGGGAGTAAATTCCTGTGGCAGATTTGGACCATTCCTTCCAAGATTTTCCAAGTGTAGTTTAAATGATAAAAACTCTCCCTCCTGTGTTCCAACGAGTACAATCAATGCCCCAAACGTTCCTAGTAGTTAAGGTGCTTGACAGAACTTATACGTGCAGTAAAGGATCTCTGTACACTCTCTAGATCTGCGATTTCACCTGCTTTGAATGGAGATTTAATGTACAGCAGTATTCCAGCCTAGAGAGAACAAGTGATTTGAAAAGGATCATCATGGGCTTGGCATCTCTCGTTTTGAAAGTTCTCATTATCCATCCTATCATTTTCTTTGCACTTGTGATCGTGGCACTGTTGTGATCCTTGAAAGTGAGATCCTCAGACATTACTACTCCCAGGTCCCTTACATTATTTTTCCGCTCTATTGTATGGCCGGAGTCAGTAGTATACTCTGTTCTAGTTTTTTATCTCCCCAGTTTTTCCATAACGGAGTAGTTGGAATTTGTCCTCATTGAACATCATATTGTTTACCGTTGCCCACTGGAAAACTCAGCAGATGACAGCCTCATGCAGATCTTAGTATCATCCGCAAAGGATGATACGGTGCTGTGGTGTATATCTCTGTTTATGTCTGATATGAGGATAAGGAATAAGATAGGGGCGAGTACTGTGCCTTGTGGAACAGAGCTCTTCACTGTGGCAGCCTCCGATTTAACTCTGTTGACCACTACTCTGTGTTCGATTTGTTAGGAAGTTGAAGATCCATCTCCCCACTTTCCCAGTTATTCCTTTAGCACGTATTTTATGGGCTATTACGCCATGATCGCATTTGTCAAATGCTTTTGCAAAGTCTGTGTATATTACATCTGCATTCTGATTTTCTTCCAGTGCATCCAAGGCCATGTCATAGTGATCCAGTAGTTGTGAGAGGCAGGAGCGACCTGCCCTGAACCCATGTTGCCCTGGATTGTGCAGATTTTGGGAATCCAGGTGATTTGCAATCCTGCTTCTTAGCACTCTTTCAAAGATTTTTATGATGTGGGACGTCAGAGCTATTGGTCTATAGTTCTTAGCCTTGAACATTTAGTTTTGAGGGACCGATAATGGTTTTTTCTTTCTTAGGAAAGCATTAAATCAATTAGAGAATGAGAGATAATCGGATATGATCCAAGGAATGGTAGCATTAGTTTCTTGGAGCAAAAGTCATTCATCAGTATTAGGACACCTACCCACCTTGAAGGGTTATGATGTACAGTAATCTCAATGCCACTAGTATTATCCTAACCACCACTGGGAATTAATATTCCACGATGCATTCACATGACTACTAATTCAATAACCTTCCTTTACAACATATGAAAATAGGGAACTTAATAAACGCCCCACCTCTCCCCCCCCCCCCCTCAAAAATCAGATAAGGAAGGTAGTGTTGGCCCTGGCCTGCCTTCAGGCTGGCGTCAGGATGGTTCAAGTTTCATATGTTCAGCACTAGATTCGCATAAACTTACTCGACAAGCATTATATAAATGGTAAGAACATTATCACTGTCACAAAGTTGTGTATTGTCCCGTGTTAACACCAGACATGGTGATACTGATCTGTGGGTGTGACCAGCGCTGTATGACCCTGGTGGTTTAGCGCTTAGTTTTGATTATAATAATAATAATAATGTGGGTGTGACCAGAAGTGTAAATAACAACACTTCGTCATAAGTGAAGCAGCTTACCTGAATGACCCTCTACTGTCATCACCACCATACAAGACGTACATCAATGTACATACATAACTTCATATTAACATCCATGACAGATTTTCAAAAACGACTATAAGATAAATAAAATGGGAAAACAAATAATTTTGTGTGTATTACAAAAATAGAAGTGCTCGAATATTAATGTATTCAATACTAATGTGTTCAACAGTATTGTTCTGTATAGTGTTCAACATCAATGTGTTCAACACCAATGTATTTAAATTAGAGGATGAATGCATCACCTACCGTATTCGACTCCCTCCATGGAGACTAGCATATCCTTGACTCTCTGAGAGGTCCTGTCCAGCTCTCCCTGAACTTCCTCCTTCTCTAAGCGCTCCTCCTCCAGGGCAGCCTTCACCTTCTGCAGTTCCTGACGTATATTCTCCATCTCGTCGAGGCGGGACCTGGCTCGAGCGTGCTCCGTCTGGAGTCTGGCGTGCTCCTCCGTCAGGCGTCGCACGTGCTCTGGCAGCTCCCCATCACCCAGGCGCCAAGCAAGCTCTACCTATTGATTCATGGTGAGGCTTTACCACCTGAACACTGACTCATTCTATCTACCTGTATATACACACAGGCACACGTACGTGCGTGCGTGCGTATAATATATATATATATATATATATATATATATATATATATATATATATATATATATATATAATATATATATATATATATATATATATATATATTCGGTATCAAATTCAGATCAAACGATAATGCCTAGCCATCAATTTTTTAAACCACATTCATGGAAATACATTATTGATCAACGTTTCGGTGACAAATTCATCATCATCACCGGTGTTCATTTCTGGATTATGATACAACAATGAAGATACCAAAATAGTCACTGAAATTATAATTAACATTATCAGAAGATTTAAAAAATTATTAAAGAAACTATGAGTATTATGGTTACTTAAGTCGTACATGAATCAAGCAGTGACTGTCCAAAAGAAACTAGACAAGGAACGAGGAAGACAAGGAGGAGGAAGACAAGGGTAGGAAGATAAAGGAGGAGGATGAAGAGGGAGAAAAAGGAGGAAAAGAAAGGATGTGGAAGATGGAGGAAAAGAAAGGATGAGGAAGATGGAGAAAAAGAAAGGATGGGGAAGATGGGGAAAAAGAAGGATGAGGAAGATGGAGAAAAAGAAAGGATGAGGAAGATGGAGAAAAAGAACTGATGAGGAAGATGGAGACAAAGGAAGGATGAGGAAGATGGAGAAAAAGAACGGATGAGGAAGATGGAGACAAAGGAAGGAGGGGAAAGTGAAGCAGGATGAGGGAAGATGGAGGTTGGAGAGGAGGGAGAGAAAGAGGAAGATAGAGGGGAAGAAGGAAAATATATAGATGAGGGAGGGAGAGGGTGTAGCTGGGATGGTTCCATGGATGATAATTCTTAGGTGAGGCTTTCTCTGGCTTCCCTGGGTCAGTCTAGCGTAATGAACACACCTGCTCCGACACATGCAAGACAGGGAAACACTCGTATTGCATCAAGGTGCCTCAGGATACAGATGAAATCACAGAACGCGAGTCCTAAAATTCACAGGCCAGTGCATTAACAGATGAACCTGTGATTTGAGTATTAACAACGCGAAAGTCACCAGAAGAAAGCAGCAAGACCGAACGGCTACCACACACTTCTTACTCTGTTTCGTCACATTCTCCGGGATTGGAGAAGGTGCATGCATGACAGTTTTACATTCTTTTGCTGAAAATTATCGTACTCAAATTGACCAAAAACGATTTAGTTCTAACAGGACTGATGAGGTCAAGAATTCCCACACAAGAACTTAATCAACCGAAAAAAAATAAAAGTAGAAAATAGAGAGAGACTTGACTTTGGTCGTGGACGGACCGGAACGTCATCAAAAGTTTCCTCTTTATGTGTGGGTTAGTTGCTAATTGTTCCAGCCACGGTATTGTAATTTTCAAGTTCCAAAACTCCGGCAATGAAAATGCCAACACGGCTCTTGACACCCAAGTAGAGTTACTGTCTTAGTCAGGTAACACCAATAACCTCTCGCAAGAGTAATGTTTAAACGAAAAGACGCCTCAGCACTGACGGTTCCAGTTCAGGTGGTGACAGTTCCTGGGCCACTCCCACCTGTAGCGGCTCCATCTATAAACTATACGGTAGCACCAGCAGAAAGGACAAAATTGATAAGAGGGCTGAACGTAGAGGACGAGGTTGCTCTCTTTGTTGTTGACCCATGAAGGAATTCATCATGAAAGACTTCATCAAGCTCAGCAGCGACATGATCGTCAGCAATAAACTCAAAAATTAACGTGTATGAGAATTATTACACTGAATGGGGAGCGATAATCCCGTAAAGGTGATACAGCGCCTGGAGAAATAGTGTGTGTGGAATTTTTTTATAATTTCTTGAAATAAATGTGTAAAAATTTTTAAAAAAATGAAGTGTAGTGTGACTTTTAGAAAGTTTTCCAGCCACGAGAGAACCAACACAGATTGGCGGGGATGCATCGAAATATGGCGTAATATAAACAACTGGATAGTATAACAGAAAAGAAATCTGGTTTAATCCGTCCAATAACTAGTGTACCAGCGTGAATGAAGGACTGTGAAATAAGTAAACGTCGTGGCTCCTGTAATGGTGAATTTCAAGAGTGACTCAGTTACAATAAAGCTGATAACTGGAATATAGAGAGACGTGACGTCTTCTGGATATGTGACACACCTAATGTTTGTAAGCTTCCCAGTTCATTACAGTAGAATACGTACTATGTTGGCCAACCTCTAGTATATCTGTCTGTTAGGGAAGTGTTAGGATGAGAAACAAGAAATATTTGGGTAAATTTCCATTAATTTTGCACTTATAATGATGCACTTATGCTATATAAAATTACTATATGTCATTTATGCACATTATCATTCTTCAGTCTATTATCATGTGCATATTTTGTGAACCAAACCACTAATTATCAAAGTCAAGTCCACAATCATAATTTATCAGTGTTGCTGGTTTAAACTTTATAATTCATAACTATTTAAAGGTTCAGCTTACGTGAGTGTGGGATGAGTAGGAGGGCATCGAAGGGGGTTCAGTAATGTAACCCACTGTACCTAAAGTCCCACCTATCTCCGAGGTACAACTAATACCAATACGTGTTATGTCTGTTTAGTCGTGCCCTCTCCAATTATGCGTGTAATAGTTCAGGACTGTGCCTGTAAACTTCATACACGTAATTTCTCACAGGTACCATTTAGGTTCGATCCAAGAAGGGAGGGGAAAGGGGGAGGAAGAAGAGGTCAAATTCCAGGAACCTTGAGTGGTTATGTATAAGTAGCAAGGCACGAAAGGTGCGGCGACCAGGTCACTTTCCTCTCAAGGCAGAGGTAGCTGCCAACCTTGATGACGGTATAGGGTTCTTCATTCAAAGAATTGGAGCTACCATACCTTTGGATCAAACTGTCTCAAGATAGTGTAATCACTGCTTCAGGTGAAAGTATCAAAGGACACATCTAAGGAAACTGTATAGAGGCTTAATCACTAGCCAGACAAGAATAATACTGACAGTTGATGGTTCTCACTCTTTTTACTACCAAAGATCTGCGGATAGTTTTGTGTTCTAGACAAACCACAAAGCTACAGTACCAGTAATGTACAAGTAACGTACAGGTACGTTCAAATATGATGGGCACAACCATCTGGAGACTGCCCGCGTAAGGTTACGTGAGCAAACACTGTCTATCGATATGGACGACATATACCCTCTGTGTCCATGTATTGTTTGTAACGGCTTGACAAAGCTCCTGGAGAGCGAAACGTTGCCACAATAAAAATGTCACATTAGTTGCATTGTGTCCTTTTACTTTACACAGTCAATAATACTTTAATCCCTTAAATAGATTAAAGTAATCTCTCAGTATATTCACCTAGAGGTATACACGTCTCGGTGTATCGGTCTGCATCAGCGTAGAGTCGTAGACGAAACATGTTTTACCCATACAACATTGCCCCTTAACCCTTTTGATTATCCCTCACAAATGGGAGGTTTCTCCTCCCTCAATTAGGAAACATCGCTACGCAGACAATACATGATGGTTTCATTAACAAGACTCCCAAAATCTTGTTTACGATTAGTCTATACATGTACCCATGGATGAGACAGGGTCAGTGTTGCAGTATGCTTCGGCAAGTATATTGTCTAGCCTAGTCAATTGTAATTCCTGACCAACAGGAAATTATGCCCGTCAGACCCTGCATAAACCCTGGGACTTCCATGCTGTCAGTGAAATGTGCAGACCTAAACAGCAACTTTCTGATGAGCAACACAACTGTCAACACGTTAGAACTGTGACAGGTGACCTCATTAAGTCCCTCAAAGAGAGGTCTTCGATGAACTCCTTGCAGTTTGATGATAAAAAAAAACTGACACACTACCCTTGGGCGCAGACCGCTCAGGTCAAAAGGCTGCCATCATCTACTTGAACAGTCAGAATACCAATGAGAATAAACTCAACCCGATTGTGGAGAAAAGGGAAATTGACCTGCCCTCTGTCCCAAGTGTTGACAACAAACACGCCTTGCCAAGTGCATTCCTCATGAGCAGTATATGGCCAAGCTTTCAGAGAAGCAACGTTGGGTTCAACTGTCGTGAAGCAGCCGATGCCAAACAAAAGTCTTGGATGCACAAACTATTACTTTCTTTCCACAACACGAATCTCCAGAGAAAACCTGTTGACAAATGCAGGAAGTTCAATGTTGGGTCATCTCTCCATAAGAAAGAGATTTCCTGGTAAAAGAATATAAATTCCGCCTCTATATTGTAGCATTCATCGATCGAGAAAAGGACTGACCTACTTACAGGCCATTTTGTTGCCAAGATGCAAGTTCCTGAAGCAGATAACTAGGCTCTATGGTTGGCTGCAGGAAGGGACACAAAGTCGTCGGCATAACTAATTTTATCTTGTTAAATCTCAAGATACAGGAAACGTTTTGGAACTAGATGAAACGAGCCTAATACTGCCAGTAGTGCCTCTTACCCATATTTAATAATTCTGCCAAGCACAGAATAAATGGTCCTCTTTATGGAGCAATGGCAAACGTAGTCGAGGCTATATAAAAAAGAAGCCCAGAGTAAGCTAAAAATTACAGGCAAATGTCACTGCTATAATTCACTAGTATAAATTTAAGACTTTTACTTACTACCATATAGCTGTTAATATGTCTTCAGAAAAGGTCCCTTTGCACTTGATATTAAACCTCTGCACCACTCACTGGATGAATCTAAGATATTGTGTATCGTAGGAAACTGTTAAAGCCTTAGATCGAGTATGGTACCACGGCTTCCGGTCAAAACTGCTAGCACTAGGAATCTCCTGGCTCTATTCTACACCTCCTTAGTGTCACCTATATAGCAGATCTCTAAGTAGTTCGTATTGGCGGATGTAAGCCATTTGATGCTGTGCCGGCATACCACAAGAAAGTGTGCTTAGTAACTTGCTATGCAATGTCTGCTTTAATTAATTACACCACATCCCATCCTCTACGTTAACATTTACTTATACAATGCTTAAAGGGACATTATTCCACTCTTGCAGCTGTATCTGCCTGGGACAGGTGATAGTCGGTATTGTATACCTTTAACATGACTCACGAAATCGTAGTGACACGATTGCAAACAAATCATACCACGGGCGGGGATAGAACCCGCGATCAGAGAGTCTCAAAACTCCAAACCGTCGCGTTAGCGACGGTCTGGAGTTCTATCCCCGCCCGTGGTATGGTTTGTATACCTTTCTTGCACAACTTGTCAGGCACTGCAACATCATGGAATCTTGGTTCAGAGGACATCCACATGACCTTCTTCAAGGCTACTACAACTAAACCATCCTTTTAGATATTGAGACACTTATGCAACATATGGGAATCTTTACCTCTGATTCTGATTACCTCAAACTCCTCCTCTCCTTATACCTTCCTGCTTTGTACTGGACCTTAGGATATGACCTCCTTCCACTGGGGAATCCCGCCTACCCGTCCCTACCTATCTGACACCTATATAAGCGCCAGCCTCCTTGTCTGTGCTCCAGAATCTCCACAACTACGGTGCTCTTCACACCAACTCCAAGGTCACCTCATCTTTTGTATATAGTTCTACTGTCTTGAAGTTATATCATAGAATCTGTATTGATAAAGCCACTGGATGGCGAAATGTCTACAATAAAGATACCCAGATGTTGCACACGTGTCTTAACTTTCATCAAGTGATAATAAGTTACTTGACCTACGGACTCGAAGAGTTGCCAGATACATCTTATAAAAACCGTAACAGTGACTCGGTTTTTCCCCATTTTCAGACTCATTCCTCTTCAGTAATTATTTAGATTTATAGTATATAGGTTATAAGCGATTTAATACAATGATTTTATTTGCAATACGAGTTATATATTGATTAAAAACAACTTTTATCTATAAAATACTATAATTTTTTGACCAGCATAGTAACATTTAATTAAACCATAAATGCAAAAGGAAATTAAATATTTTAAACAAATCTTATCAAGACAGTTTTTTTTTTTTTAATATTTATCACGACCAAGGATCGACATGAAAATATTTTGTTAGATGTTCATCTGCCATATATAATGTACATAAAGATAAAACAATACCGTGGCTGGAAGAACACACAAATAACCCGCACATAGTAGACAAACTTATGACTACGTTTCGGTCCGACTTGGACCATTAATTAGTCACACAGGACGAGTCAATGATCCAAGTCGGACCAAAACGTCATGTATCCTCCTATGTGCGAGTTATTTGTGTACATAATGCACATGTTATATATCGAGGCAGTCAGCGTAGGTGGAGGAGTAAATCAAGCAAGGAAGAGCTTTACATCGAAGGTATACAGTACCCACAAGATGATTAATAAACAGATGTGCAACACCAGGGTAACTTTACTGGAAAGATTTTTCGCCTGCACACCAGACTTTCTCAATCTAATAGAAGCATGGAGTGAAGAAATAGAGCGATGAAGCGGTGTTAGAGGTCACATCAGCATGGCAGAGGCAAGTTTATTCACCTTGCAACATTTTCCCCTCGTCTCTCGTATCTTAGCGTTTTGATTTTCCCCTCTCTACAAACGTGAGGTTCAACCCCCAATTTGGCAACCTTGCTAGGCACACATGAACATAAGAAAGAAGGAACACTGCAGCAGGCATATTGGCCCATGTGAGGCAGGTCCAAGACACCTCCGGGATTAAACCAACGACCCATCTTGTCAGGTCAGATCACATCCACTTAAGGAGCATAGCATCAGACCTATTAGCACAAGCTAGTCAGATCCAACTCACACCCACGCACACCCACTCACGTATTTATCCAACCAATTTTTAAAACTACACAACGTCTTAACTTCTATGACGGTACTCGAGAGTTTGTTCCACTCATTCACAACTCTTATTATCAAACCAGTGATTTCTTATATCCTCCCTGAATCTGAATTCTTCCAACTAAAAACCATTTCTTCGAGTCCTGTCTTGGCTATATATTTTTAGCAGGCTATTTACGTTCCTTTTATTTATTCCCGTTTTCCATTTATGTGCCTCAATCATATCCCCCCTAATTCTATGCCTTTCTAGAGAGTACAGATTCAGGGCCCTCAGTCTATCCTCATAGGGAAGATTTCTGATACGTGGGATCAACTTTGTCATCCTCCTTTGTACGTTTTCTAGTGCATTAATATCCATTCTGTAATACGGTGACCAAAACTGAGCAGCATAATCTAAACGAGGCCTAACCAAGGATATATAGAGTTGAAGAACAACCTGAGGACTTTTATTATTTATACTTCTTGATGTGAAGCCAAGGATTCTGTTCACTTTATTGTAAACACTTATGTACTGTTGTCTTGGTTTTAGATTACTGCTAACCAGAACTCCCAAATCCTTTTCGCAATCAGTAATATTAAGATCTACATTATTTAGTTTATATATGGCATGGTTATTTTCTTGTCCAATGTTTATTATTATAATAAAAAAGAAGTGCTAAACCTACAAGGGTCATGCAGCGCTGCTCCAATGTTTAGAACTTTGCATTTGTCTATATTAAAATGCATCTGCCACATCTCCGACCACTGCATCAGTCTATTCAAATCTTCTTGGAGTGCTCTAATGTACTCATATTAGAATGAATTAGGGGACCTATTTTGGCGTCATCAGCAAATTTGCTTATGTCGCTATTTATTCCCTCATCAATGTCGTTTATATAAATTGTGAACAACAAGGGGCCCAACACTGACCCCTGTGGAACACCACTTGTGATGCGCCCCAACTCTGATTTCTCCCCATTGGTGCAAACTCTCTGCTGTCTGTTAACCATGCCTCTACCCAGGAAAAAATTTCTACTACGGGTGCCTTAATTTTCCTCAATAGCCTCTGATGTGGAATTCTATCAAAAGCCTTACTGAAGTCCATATACACAATATCGTGTTCATTACCATGATCTACCTCCTCATGTACCTTGGTGAAAAAAGGAAAGCCCCTTTGTAAAACCATGCTGAGATTCATTAATCAATTTATGCTTTTCAAGAGGGCTACAAATTGCCTCGACAATTAGTGATTCCATAAATTTTCCCAATATGGAGGTAAGGCTTAGTGGTCTATAGTTCGAAGCTTTGTAAATAGGTACTACATTTGCAATTTTCCACTTGTCTGGCACTATGCCAGTTTGTAGTGATATGTTGAAAAGACTAATCAAAGGTTTGCTAAGCTCTTCTTTACATTCCCATGTCACTAGTTATCCTAATCATGCATAGTTTATCATCCTGTTCTACATAATTTATCATTTCTGGAATTTTGCTAGCATTTTCCTGCATAAAAATTGAGAGAAAATAAGAGTTAAAAATTTCACACATTTCCTTATCACTGTCAGTGATTTGATCTGAGTTACTTTTGAGTGGGCCTATCTTGTCCCTAATCTTGCTTCTGTATACCTGAAAGAACCCTTTTGGGTTAGTCTTCAAATCTATTGCCACTTTAGCCTCAATCTCTTTTAGCTTTTCTTATTCCCCTTTTTCTCTTTAACCAAATATATTGATTTCTTAACTATATATACGTCTATATATGCCTCTCTTTTGACAAATTACATGTGTTAATCTAATGTTTATCCATTTGGGATCATTTCTGATTGATCTAATTTCCCTACTTGGAACATAAGTTGACTGGGCAGCTAGAACCATGCTCTGAAAAATGTCATCTTCGCAACCAACACCACCTACATGACCCATTATCAGCCCACCCAGGTAATTTCTCAGTCCCGTGAAATCGGACAAGCAGAAGCCTGGGACAGAGACTTGATTGCAGTTATTTGGGCAATTCCATGATATAATGAAACAAAGTGATTTGTGATCGCATGACATTACTGAAGATGGAATGAGAATGAGTGAAAGACCTTATTAACATGCAGGAAATGTCTTATATATGTCGTGCCGAATAGGTAAAGCTAGCGATTTTGGCTTAAATAGTAATACTCTTCTTGCCGAATAAGGCAAGCGAAAATTTGTGTACGCAATAATTTCGCAAAAAATCATTCAAAACCTAACGAAGAAAATATATTTCATCGTGTTTGTTCATTATCAAATTATTGTAAGCTTGTCGAAAATATATTTAGATGGATTAGGATAAATTAATTTGTGTTTGTTATAATAAAGTTAGGTATGTTTTCTAAGGTTCTTTTGATACAAAATTATTAATTTTTACCTTAACATAAATAAAGAAAATATGTCTTAAAACGTAAAAGAGAAAATTTTAGAGAGGATTCAATTTTAAATGCGTTCTTGTTAACTGACCAGTTTTACATATTCAGCATGAATAGGTATTAAAATATATATATAAAATATATATATATATATATATATATATATATATATATATATATATATATATATATATATAAATATATATATAATTTATTTATTCGAGAGGAAGAGAGTGACATTTGGTACAGCTTCTTGATAACTTACCTGGACCTCAACATGTCGTCTATCTGGTAGATCAACTGGTGGTTTCATCTCCCTTATTATAGAAACATGTGGCCGTGTCTCGGCTGGTTCCTCTTCATCCTCCTCTGTACCAAGAGAGTTCTGTCGTGAGAGAGCTCTCAGAGCATTCACAAGATCTCCTCCTGTCAGTGAAGTTTGCACACCAATTTCCATGCATATTATGGTCCTTTCTTTGCGTGCACTTAAAGTGGAAGTTGAGGTAGAT